GAAAGTGATGTGATTGTCAACACCGAACGATCCGCACAAATCATGAATAGAACCGTTTCTGAAAGGAGCTAAACAGGATTTGTTTTAATATTATCTGCATGGCTGAATTTGGGCATACAAATTCGGTCCATATGTGAGGCTTTCTTTCATAACCAATACAGTTGGGTACACCATGCTGTGCTACTGTAAAGACTAGGTATGGAGAAATGCACAAAAAACGGATTAGACTTCACATTTCCCTTTGCTCCTACCGCACCTACTGCAGCGTGAGTCATGAGGTGAAGAGCATGATACCGGCTTTTTGTTGTTGTTGTCGTCATATTCGACTGCTTGCTTGTAGAGGTTTGTATGCACAGGTACACTATGCGCTCAATGTTTTGACCTTACGGATGCGTTTTTTCGTCACTCCACCTTGCCACTTGCCGTACACGTTCGTATTTACATTGCACCCACCCACACACACCCGGTTGGCTTGCGCTTATGGTCTTGTGTTCAAGTGCAATCTACCTTGTTGTTTCAGCCAAGCCAGTATCCATTATTATGATTCGTTCACCACCGGAAAGGCTTATCGAGTAGGCGGAACGGTGCAGAGAGTGTTGTTGCCACGTCATACGTGTAATGCTTTATAAAAAGCGGTGCCCACCAAGCGCTTACCCACCACACTGCCGTTACTCTTCCTTGGCCGTTGATTCAGTTAGTCTGAACCCGCTTTATTCGATCATTGCTCGCCTAATAGTCTCTACATGGAGGCAGGAAGGTTATGCTCGTTGAACGAAAGCGAGCGTTTTTTAAAATGGTATTGTGTTTGTGATAAGGAGAAGTGAGGGTTAAATGTGGAGTTATGCAGATCCCCGTTTTACTTATGTCAAGTGGTTGCAACATTTGCAGTGACATTGCCAGTCACGTCGAATATGCGTCATATTGAGCCGGACGACAGCGAGGCTGTAAACGAATATGTGCAAATTTGATCGCAGTGAATTTTAACGGAAGATAATCTGAAGATACAATCAAGGCAAGCTTCCAATGGGCATTCACACCACACCACTTAAAGATGTATCAACGGGTCTTTCAGCTCCACATTTTGCTGGTTAACATAACCACTGATGCTGTCACTTGCCTCACTTTTCTTGATTTGCAGTTTTGTCACTTACTGGTTGTGGGCTTGTGGGTATTGCACCACCGTGCACAGTCCGTTATATTTTTGGTAACGTTGTTGAGTTGACGACCAGCCTAATCGATGATTCAAGTGTAACAGTCGTGAGCGAGAGCGCTCGTGCATCGACTTAATTCACACTCGCGTCTGGTTTGTTTGTTTCCCTCATGATCATTTCGATAGTGCTCTGAGCTTTTAACTCTTCAGGTTAACTTTTTATTATTTTTCGAACAAGGAGAGCAACCAAAGCTGCTCGCTTGACATTTTCACGGTTGTCAAATATCAAACTGTCAAGCTACCGATTCTCGGTCACTTGTTTGCAATTGAAACATACGACTGTTCGGCCTTTAAATCGCCAATGGAGACGTCTTTTGTGAAATATTGACAAAAATTCGTCCATCCAGACCTAAACTTTTCTAGTTTTTCATATTCCCGTCATCCATAATCTGTATAAAATTATCTTGCCTGTTTTCCCCAATTCATGTCTACCTTGCGTGATCCGGCAATCATCTGCTGATCAGGGGATGGTGGATCCCGGTGAAAAGTGCACCGATACGCTGAAACGTGAATTTGGCGAGGAGGCGATGAACGCGAACGAGGCTTCACCGGAAGAACTGGACCACATCAAGAAATTAATTAGCGATTTCTTTGAAACCGGTGATGAAGTGAGTTCTGTGTTTTAGGTCCCATCGTGTTTCACATGAAAGTGACCACTAGATTTCGTCACAGCAGTTGAGCAATAAACGATTTGAAATTGCAAGAGTCCTAACAGACACGGATGTGAAGATCGAATATCAATCGTTTTTCTAGTGTTTTCTGTTTTTCACTCTATCCTTGAAATGTTATTTGCAGTTGACGATTCATCCGCTTGGTGGTTTGCTTTTTAATGGACCTCATAATGAGTACAATTCCTCGTATGGTGTAGCTCTGTTAGGCAAACTCATCTAAATAATTTCCCCATTTGAATGCCGTTTCATGCTGTGCGATAACAGACAAACGACATATTTTTCATGAGAACAAACACAAGCATAATTATCACCTCAACTCAATTCGTGTTAATTTGATCAGCTCTGTGCACACATTCAGATCACGATTAGTTGAAAGAGTGAATGCGAGGACTCACACACTGTCAAGAAAAATCAATGCAATGGTCAAAGGTGATGAAATCTGTTCCTGATCGGGTACAGAGGCATACATTGTGATCACTGCCCTTGATGTAGTCATATTCTTCCGTAGCCGCGCGAGGTTAGCGACGACATCAATCTACTCACATCGGTTGGGTTTGTCACGTGGAATCGTAGCTGCTTCCATGAACCATAATAAACAGTCAGTCTTCTGAAAATAACGACACGAAAGACGTGTTTCCAAATGGTATATTTTTTGCATTCGGCTGGTTGAGAGGCGAGTAAGCTAGGCGGAAGCTTGGACCCGTTTGGGGCAAGTTTCTGAATCCATGTACACTACTGATGGAAGTGAAACGAGATATTTGTGTTCTGCCATCCTGATGGTCTTTCTTGCTTTGAGGAAAGTATTAAATTGGACTGGGCGCATGAGACGTATTACGTCTCAGTGATTATCAATTGTCCTTCTCTCCATCTAGTAAAATCTGCTGATTTACAACTTGCTCCTGCTTACATACTTCTCACCTTCTTGATGATGTTCTGGGACCCTAAACTCATGATTCATCCCTGCGCGTTTGATTGTCGGCAAATCTCTGCCGTTCGCTATCGACTGAATAGTCTTATTGGGTTAAAATCCCACTCAGCTCAATACACAACTCATTTTATCTCTGTACATTATAATGTAGTTTGTAGTACAAGATAAGTTGGCTTATTCTCTACGGAAAGTTTGCGAATAATCCCTCTCTCCTGCTATTGTGAAGTTCAGTGTGTTCTTTTGTTATCTGATCCCTTTGCTGAGCACTGTTCCAGATGATTATTCTCGTTTCTAGTACTTTCTCAAACAGTTTAAGTTGTCACCGGGTCTCAGTTAATTTGCATTCTTCACGTGATTGTTTTAATCGTTGTTTAATCGTAAAAGGTACCTTTGGAGTACGGGGCGAGGTATATTTTGCTGTCCTTTTATTAGTGCACCACACTCTCGGTCCCGATTAACCCTTAAACAGGACGTTCGTCTTATGAACCTCCTAAACAGTAACACTATTAAGTGGCGTTTGGAATTTGTTTGCAGTATCCCTTAAACACCAAAGTGATCATTTCGAAAAGGCCCTAGTCAGAATCTCAGTTTTACTGCTACATATGCAATCAGTAGCAATAATTAAACGTGACCACCATAGGTTGTCGGGTTGCGTTCGCCCAAATTTGGTGTTCGAGAAAGAGTGACTTTCTGATAACCGTAGTAGGCAACTGACTACTTCAACGTCTGTTAGTAGTCAGTTGAAGTGATGTCCACCGTTGCTATGCGCATGTATCCGTTTTGCATGTCCTTATTTCTCACCTATGGGTATAGTTCTCAGCTGCAAAACTAGCCTTGGTGTCTACAACGAGTTAATCTAAAATAACACCAGAGCGGATGTCATGTCCAATTCCCATGGAATTACCAAATGGTTAGTTGAATCTTTGCTCAAATTAATCGGTTCCCGAAAACGATATTCCGATGTTTTAACTATTTTTTTCCTCAGACAACGAAACAAAATCCGACCCCTGCGTTGAATGGTTACCTAGTTGCAAACGACCCTCAGCACCACTGCCTGTCATGTGACATGTTTAAATAAACGTGTGTAATGGCGGCCGTCAGTTTCCCTTAGNTTCCCTTAGAAAAGGCGGATCTCTGGAAGCTACATCGTGATTCGTTTAAAAATACGCATGCACGAACTATTTTTACACATTTTCTGGTATACATCGGACACTGTAACTTTTTGGCGAATAATAGAACAAAACGTCAAATTGAATGACTGTCAGCTCTTAGAAAAGCATCGTAATTGATATGGAGTTCCGTCAGGAGTTTTGTCAATATCTGTCCCTTAAAAGCATAAACCCGGACGGACAACGAAAAGGCAGTATCTACTATACTAGTGGTGAAATGAAAAACGTACTGTATTTGACACACGTATGATACACGAAAGGCCTGTAAAATCTCCCAATGTTAATGAATCGTGATCTTCACCAGTTTTCGTATCCGTTTTGCTCGCTTCACAAATCTGATGCTGAAGCATGTCTTCGGGCATCATTTTTTCTCCCAGCATTTGTATTCGATAGCATAGTGATGCATTGTATCATATAAGCAGGATAAACCTAATTCACATTCTAACTGGAACAGGTATTCAACCTTAGACCGATGCTCAAAAATGAAAATGTTCTTAAACTTGTTCTTTGTGAATAACCAAACTTCTGAACACAGTCCGCAACGAATGGAATTCAATTTAGTTCGGTCATTTGGATACGGTTTTCAATCGATCAGTATCCAAAGACTCGGAATGAATTAATCCCTACGTATTTTGTGAATAGGTCACTGATCAAAAAGGTTTTGTGGTCCAAGGCTTTTCAACAAACAACTACGCATAAAGATGTGCGTGTGTGCCGTTTGGATGCCTAGTCGGATGCGCGCACTGTGGCAATGGACTGTTACACTGGTCAACGTGAATTTAACTCAAACTGGCTACAAGGAATGATCTATGACTGGTGCGACCGTGTTGTCTTCCTTGATTTGACGGTTATGGATTCGTATTTTTGTGCAGAGCAGCGGCGTCTGTCAACATCTGCTGTGACGTACATACGGTGCACACCTGGTCCGGTGAACCATAAACTGGTTCATTTTACAGCCTGAGAATAAACAATCGGTCTTTTTAATGACCAGCACAAACTGATGGAAGATATTATCATTATTAATTATCGTTTATCTGTGTGGTTACTTAATGAGATTGGAGGGGCAAGCCACTGCGTTTGTAGTTTGGTCGATGTGTTTTGGATTATCTTCTTACTGTAAGGCAGAACGGCACGAAAGAGACTGCTCCAAGGCGAATACCTATTGTAGGTGGATCATTACCGTTAGGATATTGCGGTTGCTTTGGTGTCAGTTTTGCCTAACTCGTAGACATCTAAGGAACCGGTAAGATGTGCAATTACATAAGGACTAAGTCGTGCAAAACGCCTACACGAGCGTAACAACGGTCGACTTCATCTTAACTGACTACTGACGGTCATTGGAGTAGCCAGTTGCTAAATATGTTTATCAAAGTCGATTTACGGATGAAACCAATCACTGTACAGGCACACAGTCTCCTTCTGATTCTGTTCTATTTCTGTTTGTACAATCATTAACCATGTACTTTTGTGTGCCGGTATTAGATGGTATCTTTTTTGCTTCCGATTCCAAACACACGCGTGTACATCTATGCACATCTGACTACAACACAGACAGGAATGACATTTCTGGAGGCAGCCGGATGAACCCAGCTAGCCCAGTCAGTGATCGGGGGAGGGGGTTGCGATTGTGTTGTAGGAAAATAACAGACGGTTGTATAGCCCCGCCACCGTGCTCCTTATTATTCATGTTTTTTAGGGTTTCTAACCGGAAAATCGCTAATCTTTGCAACCTAACCTGAAATTTCGAATGAGCGAGACAGCTGAAAAACTTGTCTGTTTCCGTCCACAGTGTCACAGATTGGTCTCCATGACCCATCGTTCGACCGTATCCGATGCGACAAACAGGGTGCTTGAGATGGGCTTGTGTTCTTCACACAGGTTCGAGTTATTCCGGAAGGCGCAGCGAAATAATCGTGTTCAGCTTTGTACTTTCCGGGGGGTTAACATCCATTGGTGCGGCTCCTTCTAAATACGAGCAATTGTACAACCGCAGCTGTTAAATAATTCTGGGCGCTGAAGGTTCTCAGCGCTATCTAGGCAGATTTTAATAATAATGCACAAACAGTGGCACTGTACACCCCACCTTTCGCTGCAAGAATAGTATCGTGCCCGAGACACGAATTCCTGAAACTAGAGGATGCCAGGCATGTATACCCATCTTTTCTATAGATCTTATCCACAATTTTGCCTAATGTGATACAGCTCTCGACGTAAACAGAAAGTGGTTTCGGCACTCATGTAAACGGTGCACCCAGAGGTTCTGATAAAATTGCTTTGGTTTTGAAAGAGTCAGATTCCATAGGTCGTCCAAATCGGATACTGATCATTTGTTCGATCGACATAGAGATTGTCTATTAGGCATTGGTTCGGAA